TATTTGTGAGCTAAGGTCAGGTCAGTTTTGCGACCTCCCCAATCTCCATTAGGTATAGGTAGCTACGTTTATGGGAGGCAACTGAAAGGCATCTCTTTTGGACGAGCGCCATTCTAGACAATCGCAAGCATTAGGATACATGTAAAATTAACACACTGAATAAGAAAATTGCACCTGTGACCATTTATTATGCTCCACAGGTCATCCCAGGTCATGAAAGGTCCACAACAGTTTTTCTTAATAACTTTTAATAAATACATGCTAGAACGATAAGAAGACCTCAGTTGTGTTCAGCTCGACGAAACGGATCGACTGATATGCAATATGACATTTCCCGGTGAGGTCATGACCTTGACCTGAGGTCAAATTCTCAAAATTACCTTTCAAGGTCATCATATAGTCCATTCAACGCGTCTCGACGACAGAAACGCGATGCTGGCAAACGTAATGTCGGACTCTCTGTCAAAAGCTATTGCAGGAACATATTGTTCGTAAAACTCCTATTTTTAGAGTTTTTGCCCTCTGGAGGCTAAACCGTTGACCAGAGGTCAATTCTGAGGGTAGTTCACCGAAACACATTTGAAAGGGCTATTGAATGCGCTTTACCGCTGCACTGCAGCTCTATTGGTTTCCGAGCTATGTGCCGGTGTTTCGAAAAATGTTGAAATAGGTAACATTTTACCTTTGATGACCTTTGGTGACCTGACCTTATTTGACCTAACCTAGAAAACCGCTTACCGCGTGTCGCTACGTGGCCTAGAAGCCGAGTTAGACGAGGGGGCGTGACCTCCCCCACCCCCCAGCACGACACGGAAAAATCAGACCATCAGCATGGCGCGGGTTAAAAGTCGTAGATGGGCGCCGCTACGTTAGCAAAAAATATTAGCAATGAGGTGGCCTCCATTTGCTGGTGCATCCTTCTTCTCCCAGTGATGTCCCTCTTTTTTTCTGGAAGCGTCTCACTTATGCTGGTTTTCCTCACTTCTCCTGGGGGCGCCCAACCTCTGCTTGGATCGCCCAATCCCTCATGGGGAGGCCCACTTTGCTTGAGTCGCCTCATTTCTTCTAACAACGACCAATTTGCTGTAGGCAACCCACTTATCTGGGACGCTCATCTTCTGTAGAAACGTCCCTCTTCTTCCTGATGGGTCACACTTCTACTTGGAGTGCACCTGTTTTGTTAGGGCGCCCCTTTGCTGGTGCTGGGGAGTCCCTTTTTACTGTGAATGCGGCGACCCTCTCCTGTTGGCCGACCCCAAATTCTGCTGACCGGCGCCCCATTTCTGTCCAACTTTTGCTGGGGTGCCCCTGTCCTGCAGGGGGCACTTCTCTTTTGCTGGAGACGCCTCTTCTTGGGGCGCCCTTCCACTGCCGGGGACGTCTCTCTTCTGCCAGCGGCACCCATTTTCTGCTTATGGGGCTCCTCTTTTTTTTTTGCTGGGGCGCCCCTCTTTTGTTCGGAGTGGGGCACCCCTCTCCTTTTTCTGGGGCACCGCCCCTCTGCTGAGGCTGCCCTTCCGCTGTCAGGGGCGCCCCTCTTGTGCAGAATATGCTCCTTTTCTTCTTGTACTGAGGCACCCCTCTTCTACTGGGGGCACCTAAGGACTGCTGCCTGCTGGGGCGCCCATCTGCTGCCGGGGCAACTCTTTTCTGCCAGATATTGTCAATGGGGCGCCCTTATCCTGCTTGGCGAGCCAAACCTCTGCCGGAGACTCCCTATTTCCGATCAACTTTTGCTGTGGCGCCTCTCTTCTGTTGGGCGCCCCTCTTCTGCTGGGGGCGCCCCTCCCCTGCTGGAGACCCTTGTCTTCTGCTGGGCCCCTTCCGCTGCCGGGGGCGCAACTCTTCTGCTAATGGGACCCATTTTCTTCTGATGGGGCTCTTTTTTTGCTGGGGCGCCCATCTGCTGTCAGGGCGCCCCTCTTCTTCTCGGAATGGGGCGCCTCTCTCCGTTTGCTGGGGCGTCGCTCCTCTTCGGGGGTGCTTTCTCCTGCTGGGGTGCCCTTCCGCTGCCAGGGGCGCCCCTCTTGAACCTCTTGATCTTTTTATTTTTGTAATAAGACGCCCCTCTTCTGCTGGGGGCGCCCATCTGCTGCTGGGGCGACTCTCATCTGCTGGGAATGGGCAATTGGGCGTCGCTCTCCTGCTTGGTGTGCCCAACTTGTGCTGGAGGCGCCCTATTTCTCCTAAACCTTTGCTGTGTCGCCGCTCTTCTGCTCGGGGCGATCTCTCTGCCGCGGACTATGGGCGCCTTTTCGGATGGAGGGGGGGGGGGGGGGCGGCCGCCCCCGCCGGCCCCCGCTGGATCCGCGCCTGTTAAGAATGACGTTCGTGCAAAAGAGACACCTTTGAATTTTCTCTCATTAACCCTTGTTTGGGTGGGTTTTTGGCCACAACTGCCAGTTTTTTTTTGCGTGTGCAAAAAAAAAAACCGCGGCGAAATTCGGTATAGCTTATGATACAACAACCTTATAGTATATTATAAAAACCACAGCAGCGTAACACATTTTGAGTTGATCTTCCAAGAGACACTACCTACAGTCTCGACTTCAAACGAATAGTGACCGAGCCAACTATGGTTACTGACAAAATAGCAAATCTTAGGGGATAATAGTATCAGATCAACATCGTGTAGCCGACTACGGACTTTTATCCCCTTTCGCGAATATTGATCATATCCCAATTTACGTACGCCTGAAGTTCGAAATTCCGGATAAAGGCCGGTGGGTAAAAAATATATATGACTACAGTCGCTTAGACATTGACGAGTTTATACAAATCTTTGAAAACAAGAATTGGGATGAAACGTTGAACATAGATTAAGACCCAGCAATAGGATCACTAACACAATTCATCCTAGATGCTGCGTCACAGTCCATACCTAAGATAAACATAAGCTCAAAAAGCAATGATAAGCCTTGGGTTGGTAAAAAGGTATTTCAAGCATTGATAAATTGATAAAGAGAAACAAGCTTTTTAGAGCTGCAAAAATAGCAAATAACGTAACGGAGTGGAACATTTGGAAGACCCAAAAGTTTTGTATCTGCTTTGAATCGCACGTTTGAAAATAAATACAATGTGCGTAAGGTAAAGAAAGTGATGGACAACAAACAAAGACCTCAACAATACCTATCACCATGTACTGAAACAAATGATTAGACGTGAGCGAACTCTAACTTTACCACCCTTGCTGGAACGAAATTTATGAGAAGAGTTTAGAGTTTAGACAAAGCAAGCCTATGGAACGACTTTTTCGCAAACCGATCGAAAACCATGGTATTAGAACATGAAGTTTCGCAGTGTCTCGTCAGTAGAGAAGTACCGTCACTATGCGATGTAACAGATAGCGAAGAGGAAGTTCTTGGTGTCTTAACGACACTTAACCCTCGCCGGTACAGGCCATTTTGAGTCTTTCGACGGCACAAGGGGGGGGGGGTTGGTACGACCCCCCCTCGCGTTTGGCCTCTGATGGAGCTAGAGCTTCGCGGAAAAAACGAGCGTGTTGCCCGTCACGAGAGGAAGCCAATGCTGGCAGATTATTCCAAGTTTGTGCACCCTGAAATCGGCTGGGCCGATGGCACTCAAAATAAGTACGAATGTAGGTATCGATTCAAAAGGTGGCCCGTACACATGGTATTCTCTCTGTCCACGTGCGTACGTACAGTCTGTCTTAAAAGTACCGCGCAAAGTAACAGTGGATCCATCAAGCCTGACCGAGGAAGTACTGCTGGATTTGAGTCACCGAAACAATGGATATCCTTGTCCATTCCCCAGGTCAATTGATTCGGTGACTTTCAAATCATAGCAGGCCCTTCCTCGGTCAGGGTTGATGGATCCACCGTCACTTTGCGCGGTACTTTTAAGACAGACTGTACAGTCTGTCTTAAAAGTACCGCGCAAAGTAACGGTGGGTCCATCAAGCCTGACCGAGGAAGGGCCTGCTAAATTTGAGTCACCGAAGCAATTGACATCCTCGTCCATTCCCTAGGTCTATTGGTTCGGTTACTTTCAAATTATAGCAGGCCCTTCCTCGGTCAGGGTTGATGGATCCACCGTCACTTTGCGCGGTACTTTTAAGACAGACTGTACGTGCGGGACCAGCTCTTACGCTTGAAAAACGCTTCCGTCCACTGCTCGCAAAGTTTTGAACTCATAAGGTGCGGGGGTATAAAGTTGCCGCCTTGCCTTCATGTTTTGTGTGCTATCTCCGAAACCTATAAAGATATGAACTTGAAACTTGGCATAGGTTCAAATCTACACTACGGCCATATTTAAGGGAAGTTTGGTGGTTGCAGCACTTAAGTTGACGCCACCGTGAGATCATACACTTTTGTCGTTTTCCGATATGGAGCGTTTCTGATGTCACTCACTTGAGCAGGAAACGTAACGGTAAAGGAACTTGACAGCACCTGCTGCCATATTGATAAATCTAAATGCACTTTCAACTAGTTCCTGATCGGTCCTATATATTCGGTCATATATAGCGGTCGATCCTATACTATGAGGAAACAAAGAAACAACAATGTATAATTGGACGTCTGACGTCACTGTGACGTCCTTTCAAATGGTATCTACACCAAACTTTGACACAACTTCGGCTACCTATGCAGATATGTGCGTGCAAAGTTTCATTTTTCTATTTCTTCGCATCGCAACGATATCGTCTGAGAAGTAAAGGAGGAGGTAACAAGTTGCTCCCCCCCCAAGCGGCAAGCGGGTGGCGCTCAGGCCCAGCAGCCCCCGGGTTAAATCATCGGGGTGTCGGTTAGAAGAGTAGTCCACAAAACTCAGTGGCGAGGGGGAGAGCGATGGCGCAAATTTGCGCACGCGCTGGGATCACTACTGAGCGCGCTCGTTTGGCGTCCCCCGAGGCTTCTTTATGATAATTTTCATTCCCTAAAGGATCAAACGAGCCCTGTACAGAAACAAGAACAAGCAATCCTCAGTATGACTGTTGTGAGCTGTGAGTGCAGCGTTCTGCCGGCGGCCGGAGCACCCACCAGCAGCGGCGAGCTGTACTCGGCCGACACTGACACGTCCACACTCGACTCGTCGTTGTTGCCACCGTCTCGTGGCGACTCCGACTTGGACTTGCTGGCTGAAACAAGCCGGGGGCCCACCGTCAGACAACCGGCCACTTCAGAGCGAATCAGCTGTCTGCTGACTGCTAAATTTTATTATCCATCATAATAGGTAGTGTGGTAGGTACGCACAAGCTTGGGATCGGCGCAAAAGCTTCTCATCTTATTTCTGGACGCCTAATGAGTGGTTAAGAACCTAATTGGCACATTAGAAGGAATTACAGAAAAGTAGGCAGTATTCAGTAATCGAGATATCAACAAAGTTGTACGGAAAACAAAATGTATTTTAGTTATTTATTTATTCAAGTAATCACCAACAGGGCGGACCCCCACTGACAGGCGAAGTCAAACTAAGACTATCCATGATAAGCAATGACATACGGATAAACAATGCAGAGTAAAGAGTGGGTAAATGTTACGATAAATATGGCCAAAATATAATGCACAAAAATACATGCATACGAGTTAAAATGAATCTAAAAACGGAAGTTGTAACATTAAAGGTAGTGTGCCAGCTTTCCTGGACCGTATGGAGTTAATGGCCCAGATAAGGAGAACCGGATTTTTAGATCTTATCCATACCTTCAAAACTCATGGAAACGTCTTAAATTCTTCAAATTTTGAGTACCCCAGTGCGAAATTCGCCCCGACGGGTTGTCGGTCGTACCCCAACCACATTTCACACCACTATGAACAATAAATGCACACACTGAAATCGCTTTTACCGATATGCTCATCCAATCAAGTTTCGATAAACCCGTTCATCATCATCCCCTGCGGTTTCGAACACGCCTGTTAAGTGGTGCGGTAGACAGCACCCAAAGCCAGGGCCCCGGTAACGTGAGGTAGCCGAGTCGGGGCAGCGTGCGCTGACCCAAGCCGGGGCCGCGCGTCCTCCCGGTGTCATGTGATAGCCCGGGGCTGCCCGCGGGGATGCGGTAGACCGCGCCCAAAGCTGCGGCCCCGGCTTGGGTAAGCGCACGCTGCCCCGACTCGGCTACCTCACGTTACCGGGGCCCTGGCTTTGGGCGCGGCTCCTGCTCATACTTTGTGGTGCGGTGGTGGTGCGTCGGGCCGCGCGCTCTGACTTCGGCCAAGAAAAATGCGTCAGCTGATCATTGTCATTTCTGCCACTTGCGTGTGGTGAAATGGGGTCATAACTTCAGAGACGGCTTTTTCATATCAATTATTTTACATAAAATCGTATTTCAAACCATAAATAATGTTCGACAGCCAAATAAAAGAAACAATACCAATACAGGCTTACAGTTTAAGGCTCGACATTGTGTTGTCTACGATTAGACAGCTGATAACTCATTCCCGTACGTCGTAACTCTATAATGACCTTTGCTTATTGTCACATGTGCGCCGCATTCGCGATTGTTGCCGACGCCTGTTTGCAGGTGAGCCCACTACAGTTGTTATACATATCGAAAAACCGATAAACTTTTAGGCGAAAAAGGCACTATTCCAGGCCCATTTTTGATTTTTTTTTGCGATATTAGGTAAAAACAGAAGCTTGCTATCCTAGGAAAAATAAAATGGGAAATCTTTCAAAGGTGGCACACTACCTTTAACAAGGCTCTATGACTGTACAGAGATGATATATACTTGAAAACATGAGATTTAAAAAAGTCCCAGTGGCATCGGTAAAAATGTCTGCCCCTGGAACACAAAAACGAATTGACTAGACATGGTACTCTCAACTCTGTTGAATAAACCCCGCTTCACGGTGTTGACGCGTGCACGGGGCTCATAAAGCAGTTTTTGTGTGCGGGTCGGCCGAGTGGGCATGTGCAGTGCAAAGCTGTTTAGTATGTGGCAGCTGTCGTGTCTCCCATGAAACACGTTTCTGATGAAAATCAGATCAGGTATTTGAACGTTGAGCTGAGCATTGTTAATAAGATTATTAGAAGGATGAATAACCTGTTGCTCATTTCTATCAGAAATAGAAAAAATAAACCAATATATATTCGGGCGTGGCCCTTCTTCAGTGGTACAAGATCACAATAAAACAAGAGAGACGTATGTGACACACATGAGGCAAAATACAATATTTTGAATCAAATCACTCACAGATATTTTGCATGCGCTTCCAAGATAGGCGTCGATCTAGATTTAGATAGTAATGAATAGCTAATAAATGGTGGCACAGTACATACATATGGCACATACATACATATATATAGGTACAGTTCAATACGATACAGGTAAGCTCGGTTTGCATAACAACATTTATATGCCTAGATAGGTCATTTTAACGAATCATCGTCCTGTACATCGGGGCATGATATTCGCCATAGCCTATACTGTCACCATAGCCTATACCAAGAATAGCACTTTGTATAACATTGCTAACTATTCGACATCAGCCTCATCAGACATCAGACAGTATGGTCACTGTTACGTGTTTGTGAGTTCGAGTGCATGAGCGTAAGTGTAGGTGTGTGTGTGTGGGGGGGGGGGGGGGGGGCTATGTTTGTGTATGTGTTAATCGTGGATATGTAAGTGAATATGTAAGTGAAGGGTAAAAGCAAGAAAGAGTAAGGGAATTAGTCCCGACGATGTGTGAGTGAAGGCGTCAAATAATGTGATCTAATCAAAATATAAGTATGTACTATCTGGCGTGATCACAAGACCGTCTATAGCTCTGAATATGGTACTGGTTTGAGGAGCGTCCAAGATGATGTCATTGTGTTGAGTGTGGGGCGATGATTGCGAATTTCGATGGACTCGGCGATCTTCAGCTCAGCTACGTCTTTGCAGATTTGAAGAATTGTAATGGAGAGGGCATCGTGGCTCGGCTCTACGTTACAATGGCAGGTCATGATGTCTGACTGTCTGATGTCTGATGAGGCTGATGTCGAATAGTTAGCAATGTTATACAAAGTGCTATTCTTGGTATAGGCTATGGTGACAGTATAGGCTCTGGCGAATCAGGGTATATTGAGTGAAGGGTAGGACGAACTTTGGTAGGAATTTCTAGTATAACTACTAGAAAACCTACTATATGTGGTCGGGACTAGCAAAAAGTTAGCTCAAACTAGAATATGGTAGCGCTTGTGGTTGGCAGTCGTGACGCGCACGTGACATTCATTTCTTAAATTCCTTAAATAACAGGTTTTAGGGGCCGATTAGTGGGCAGATACATTCAATTAGCTATTAATAATTGATTATGCAAGCATTCAAGAATCTACATCATTCAATTCTAGCCAAAATCACGCGGCGCTCCCAGGATTCGAACTCACGACCCTCGGATCCGTAGCCCGATACGCTACCGACTGCGCTACCGCGGACCGCGCGCCGACGACCGGAGAGGCGGATCGCGGGTGCTGGCGTGCAGAGAAATCTTTACCCTGTACGCCGTAGAAGATCGGCTGGGTTTCGTGAAAAGTGGTAGAGGAATTGTCGAAAGAAAATTCATTGATCTATCATTTGAGACCAAGAACCATCGATTCCTTCAAGGGTTGACCGAGATATCGCTCGCCGAAAACAGGCCATTTATCATGTAAACCCTATGGGCTGGTAGGAAATGTACGCCGTGGAGCAGCAGTGCTACCAACTAACTTCGGCGGGGGCCGATGGCGAATATCATGCCCCGATGTACAGGACGATGATTCGTTAAAATGACCTATCTAGGCATATAAATGTTGTTATGCAAACCGAGCTTACCTGTATCGTATTGAACTGTACCTATATATATGTATGTATGTGCCATATGTATGTACTGTGCCACCATTTATTAGCTATTTATTACTATCTAAATCTAGATCGACGCCTATCTTGGAAGCGCATGCAAAATATCTGTGAGTGATTTGATTCAAAATATTGTATTTTGCCTCATGTGTGTCACATACGTCTCTCTTGTTTTATTGTGATCTTGTACCACTGAAGAAGGGCCACGCCCGAATATATATTGGTTTATTTTTTCTATTTCTGATAGAAATGAGCAACAGGTTATTCATCCTTCTAATAAAATCAGATCATACTGAATTCGACGTGAAGCTAATGACTGCATCCTGAAGTGATTTGGTAAAGCACTGTAATCCAGAGAAATGGAATGTCCGGAGAATGTGTTTGATAAAAGTCATATTGGAAATTTGTGTAAATGATAACAATAACAAGTCAAATGTACCTTTAAGACACACAAAGCTTTCGGTATGAAAAAACCTTGATCACTGTGTTAAACAGAAATGAGCACAGAAATGATCACCTGCAGCTTGTACATAACCACAAATATAAAATGGCACTCGAATTATAGATCACAATCACGAGATTATCTATCGGGGTTCTGCCACTAAGCTTACAGGGCATGTTGCTAAAGTAATAAATCCAGTTCTAGTGTTGACGCCGAAGGGCGGAGCTGGACACCCGAGGGACCCCGACTGCCCATGCGTGATGCAAAATTTTACAATAGGATGCGCTGCTCGAACACGACTCAGTTATTAGCCGAAAACCACCAGTCCATCCGCGCCATGTTTCGCCGCGCGTCGAACTGCCGCGGCCGCGGCCCTCGGCTCTGCGGGCCGGCGGAGAGTGGGCGAAGCCAGGTGGCTGACGTCATCGAAGTGTGCCGTCACACGCTACCAAATATTTTGCGCGGTGCCGAACAGCACTCAGCGTCCCCCTTTAAATGATCTGACCCCCCTCCCGAAATGAAATCCTGGCTCCGCCCCTGCCAAACACGCTGCCTCCCTGAGAGATCTACACACTGTAAACCAAATTGACAAGTCTTGTGTAATATAACCAATCATCTCTTGGTATGTTTACCAACTGATACTTTTTAAACAAGCCGTTGTCTGGTGCATTGCTTGTCAGGTGACAACTACGAGTCAATAGTTACTATGCACACCAACTTCTCAGTATCCAGACCAACTCTACATTTGTTTCAACGTTTGTTTCTTAACCAGTTTTGGAAACTTGTTGCCGCATGGTTATTTAACCGGCGCCTAACTTGTACTGAGGGGTGTTCACGGGCACCGCACACTGCTGCGTGCGGTGTGTGCGGTGCGTCCAGCAGGCGTGGGGGTAGGGGATGGGTAGGCGGTTCTGACGTCACGGCTGCGTGCGGTGGACGGTCCGCTGTGGCCAGTGGCCACAGCGATCGCTGTGTGCGGTGACGGAAGGCTGACGTAGGGACGCAGTGGGCGGAGCTTCGAGGCTGTGTGCGGTCCGACCGCACACAGGGACCGTGAACAGCCCTCTGGTCAGCTGGTCAGCATACACATGCTGACTTGGCGGACCAATCAGCGGTCGCCGCCCGCCGTTAACGGGCCCCGGCGCGGCGGTTTCGAACCAGCAGTTGTCGCGCGGCCGCCGTGCAGCCTGGAGCAGCGACGAGGGCTGTTCCAGCATTTGTGCAGTAAAAAGTGAAATCTGTGAACTGTGGTGTTCGTGCTGTGAGTGAGACCCCCTCTGGCCTGCGGGACGCACTAATCGTGCCTATACCCGCGGTCGAGACGCCTCCCTTCCCCTGCGCGCGCAATGTAAGTGGGCCAGACCTGTGCATGCACATGTGAGCAGATGTTTTGCGGTCGGTGTTTTTTATATATAAATACATTTATTTGCCTTTAATTCAACTCTTTGTATTTTTAACTTAACTGATGGACATATATGGGCTGTAAAAGCTAATCTGGTTGGCGATAATGATTTATTCGAATTATCTGCGTGATCGTGCAACTGCCATGATTGTTATGGTCAATGTTCAGGAAATATTCGTCATACGGGCATGTTATACTGGCTTGATGCGGTGCACGAAACCATGTTCTTCCACATACGCAGCAGTTCTTGCTTCAAAGACATATGCTGACGGTGCACGATAGGTATACCTACTGGGTATACCTACCTCATGCATTTACCACATCCATTCGAAAATATGCACTCGGAATTGTCTCCAGTCAATAGTATTAATTACGTGACCGTAATAAATACTAATGATTCCAGAAACTTCCGAATGGATGTGGTGTATGCATTCATTGATTATATAACCCATCAGTATTTCGTTTCTTGTCAGGGCAAGCCTTTGAGCAATAACTGATGCCAGTCATGGTTTTGTGCACCATTTCCAGCCAAAAAATAACCTGTCCGTATAGAAAATATTTCCTAACAATAATACCAAAAAATAAATATTAAACACAGGGCGGGAGGGCGTGGCGCGGCCGACTGACTCACGCAGTGGTGATCCGCCGGCGCGCGTCGGCAGCGCGGGCACCCGCGGGATGGCGGCAGGCACGCCGCCCCGCTTGGCTGCCGTGCGGCGCAGGCGCACTGAGCTGGTGGCGTACTTTTGACGCGCGAACGTGCTCTCCTCCTCCGGGGCCGACTCCTCCGACTCACTTCCAGCCAGCACTGGAGAATGGACACGGTGTGAGTAGCGGGAAGCGGCGGGCACACGGCGGGAACACAGCACACACGATGGGGACACGGCGGGAACACACACACGATGGGGACACGGTGGGAACACAGCACACACGAGATGGGGACACGGCGGGAACACAGCACACACGATGGGGACACGGCGGGAACACAGCACACACGATGGGGACACGGCGGGAACACAGGATTTACCTGTTTGTTTTCAGCCCATAACTAAAAAAGTTTTGGACAGATTTTAGTGAAATTTGGCATGCGGCTTCCCAACTGACTCGTGTATAATTGTTATGATCGTTTTTAATTTCGTCATGGCTGTTGATGAGCTATGGCGGAGATTACAAAAAGAGCCCAAATTGCGGTGCCGATGCAGGCTGGCCACAGCGTCCGAAGCGTTCCAAAACAGCTCGGTGTTGCCATAAAAACTGTTAACAATCTAATGAAATGCCTTAATCCGCGCCCGGCTGGGGGTCCTGGATTTCCACGCCCTGCTGGGGGGGGGGAGTGTTTGAACACCCCCCCCCTTCTAACTCGGCTCCTGGGCCACGTAGCGATACGCGGAAGGCGGCGTTCGAAAGAGCGTCAAAAATAATGACGAAATCACTTCGGTAAATTTTTTGGTCAGGTCAAAGGTCAGGTCACCAGAGGTCATTGAAGGCAAAATTTCGCCGATTTCCAGGTCGAATGTCGACAATTTCCAAGAAGCCAACGCATAACTCGGGAACCAATAGAGCTAGGGGAAGGTGGGGTAAGACGGCCCAGCGGGGCAAGACGGACCACCAGCCCTCCCGGCTGAACCGCTGCTGGTATCTACTGCTTTATGCACTCACTATGTTTGTTTTCCTTCGTAACAATGGCCACCTTGAGCTCATGCTGCTAGGATGCATAGCTTTTAAGTTATTGAGAAAAATGTTGTTTTTCGTCAAACCGATCTAATATAAGAGGTCTACGGGTGATTCAATTACGGCGCCTTTCTTGCATGATTAGTTTCTATTTTGCACTTAACTGTGAAGAACAAAGTTATAAACTTAGTTATAGTCACACTTTAGGAAAGGCAAGGTTTTGCAATGTTGGGCTATTTGACATATGCGTCATGATAATGACAGAATTTAGCTTTGGGGCAAGACGGACCACTGTGGTCCATCTTACCCTGCGGTGGTCCATTGTACCCTGCATATGGAAAGTTCTTTTCCAAAACATTGACACAAGTTAAAGTAAGCTAATTTTTCAGGAAGGAGTCTTTGTTGCATGTGAGCCATGCATGCAAGTGCTCAGTTAGCATGCATTCATGTTAAACGACAAGCAACACACATGTTCCCAGCTTTTAGCTGCACTTCCATCACACATGAGGAAAGAATAAAGGCTCATTTTGTTATTTTACCATTCTGGTTACTTTTTCTTACAAGAGTACAGAGCAGAAGTGTAACACACATGAACGGATAGCAGGCACTGCTGGGTGGTCCGTCTTACCCCACATTTTTTATTGTCTGAGTTTTTGACATGTCCCTCTTTAAGAGCATCCACCACCTAGATTTCTTTAATTTGAAATTTAGTCTTTACACATATCAACAGAGGAAGGATTGAGCATTCCGAAGACTATAAATAATATGAATTACGAGAGCAGTGTAGCAAGATATGCGGCCTCAAACCTTAGCTGGTCCGTCTTACCCCACCTTCCCCTACAGCGCCGCGGAGAAGCGCATTCGATAGCCCTATTAACGCCCTTTCTGAGTAATTTTCTCAGATTTGACCTAACGTCAACGGTTTTGCCTGCAGGGGGCAAAAACTGCAAAAATAGCCGATTTTTTCGGAAACAGTGTTTCTGCAATAACTTTTGACCCAAGCCTTGTACGAGCTTACTTTTACTGGCATCGTGTTCCTCTCGTCAAGACGCATCGAATGAACTATAACTTGACCTTGAAAGGTCAACTTGAAAATTTGACCTCAGGTCAAGGTCATGACCTGACCTTGACCTCAGGTCAAGGTCATGACCTGACCGGAAAGGGTCATGTTGCATATGAGTCGATCCGTATCGTCGAGCTGAACACATCTAAGGCGTTTTCATCGCTCTAGCATGCCTCTATCAAAAGTAATTTGCGAAAAACTGTTAGATACCATTCGTGACCTAAGATGACCTCAGGGCATAAACAGGGGTCACGGACACCATTTTCATGTTCAGTGTGACTTAACCACTTGTAATTCAGTGTTTGGGAGTGTTTATAATGTCTTTCGTCCAAAAGAGGCGCATTTCAATTGTCTCCCATTGACTTATAATGGGGAGGTCGCAAAATGGACCTAACCTTAGGTCATCGATATCAAAATTCTGAGATATACATTTTGTACATGCTATTGCTCTTAGCAATCGCTGAAAGTTTCAAAGCGATCGGTCACTCGGTGTAGCTATGACAGACATTGAAACTTTTTATGAGGTGAGGTCACTTCAAGTGACCTGGTGACCTGACCTTGAATGACCTTGGTCTGAAATTTGCACATGTGTAGAATTGATGTATGATAAGATGTACCAAAAACGGCGGCGACCTCGATTTTTCACCCAAAACGATCAGGAGAATCATTAACGACGATTTGGGCTTTGAGTCATACACGATGCAACGTTGACACCTAATTTCGGCGGCATCCAAGGAGAAGCGGCTTCACATGGCCCAAAAGATTTTGGAGGAAATCAGAAGCGCCGGTAGCAAGGTCTTCCTCTGATCTGATAAAAGAAATCCACGGTTGAGCCCCAGATGAGCTCTCAAGGTGACATAAGCTTGGCAGATGGTACATCCAGCATTGATCCTGCTATCCAGACCAGTTTTGGTCGCCACAACCCTGCAGGTGCAGGTACACCTATGCATGACTGACCCCTACATGGAGCTGACACTCTTGTAGGCCTTATATGATGGATTGTGCACCGTTTTGGCAGAGCTGATGACGAGAGGCGCCCATTGCGAAGTCCTGAAGTCCATGCTACTGAAAGCCCGATTTCAGGTGTTTGACCTGACCTTGACCCGACCTGTGACCTCAAAATTCAACTTTAAAGTATTCATCTGAAGCGTCTCGTCGCGTTCTTTCGTTTGCCGCCTCGTGCGTTTCGCTGCGCCTATTGGTTCTTGAGTTGTCGGCTGGGGGCGTTTAACGCCCCCCCCCCCCCAGCAAACGGTGGGTGGCGAAATACCCCAGCAACTGCCGGGTTAAACCACGCAAAACACGTTCTGCCGCCCCACGTAATCGTGCCCATTGTCACCTCGCTCGTTGTTTCCCGACTCCGCTACTGCATCGCTGTTTACGGTTTTACTGTATGCCTGGCCTATTCAAATACATTAGCCTGAGGGGTGTGGTAATAACTGGTGTAAGCAAATTGACCACGGTCAAAAATGCATTACCAGAATGCACTAAAGCCAACATTTTGGGATGGTCTCGTTCCTAAGTCGGCTAAGAGCTTCGGTCCAGAAAATAAATTTATGGTTGGCATACAGTAAAATACATACCAAACTCGGCCGGTGATAAATTTTCAAGACCTCAGTCCTTACTGATTTTTGAACTCGGCCTTCGGCCTCGTTCAAAAATCCAGTAAGGACCTCGGTCTTGAAAATTTATTTACACCGGCCTCGTTCAGTATTATATAATACCTGTGTCCTGTGGTACTAACGGAGTTGCACCGCGTTCAGAAAATACTGAATTTTTGCGCGCGAGTTGTGAGCGGGCGAAGGAAATATGACAGAGTGTCGGATGTGTTACGCGATCTGCAGTGGCTCACTGCACCAGACATGGCCCTGTATCATCGAATGTGCTCTGTACACCGCATTGTGGAGACACAACAGCCGACTGCGATGGCAAGCAAGTTGGACAGAGCGTCCGACCAGGGTCACAACACGCGAAATGCGAACCGGTTCAGGCTGCCACGAATTCGAACAGAGGCAGGCAGGCGGCAACTTTTGTATAGCGGTGTCTCGGAGTACAACGAATTCATGCACCATTACAATGGTCGTCCAGCATTCAAAACCGCCGTGAAACGCTACTTCCTGGGGCGTGATTCAAACTGAATGATTGACTTGTATGCATGTGTGTGCTTGTGCTTGAATTGTGTGTATCTGTTTTGCTATGTCAACTCTTTTAACGTTTGACGTTACGTTGATGAAAAGCCGCAATAGCGGATTTAACGTGAATACAATGAATCTGAATCTGAATCTGAATGAGGGCTGAGTCACCGGATTTGAAAATAGGATGAACCAGGGAATGTTTTCAGGCATCAGGGATGTCACAAGTGGTGAGGGAGGTATTAATGATGTGGATAAGGATGGGTCCGATGGCATCAAAACACAGGAGTAGGATACGGATGCATATACCATCAGTCCCACACGCACCGGAACGCTTCATGGAGAGCATGACCTGCCGCAGGGCGCCCAGAGTCACGCCAGATACCCGAAACCCGCACGCCCCCACACGCGGCAGACGGCACGGAATGTCCGGCGGCGGCCCGAGATCGGACAGGCCGGCCGCGACACGGGGTCCGACACTCACAAAGTAGGCGTTGAGCTCGTTGGGTGTGGTGGCAGGAAGGCTGGGAGTGCTGCTTCACTTGCCGGCGATGACTGGGCGAACAACACGATAGAGGAAGCTGCCTGCTTGCTCTCGTAATCTCCCTTCAATGTCCGCACGGCAGTCACGCCTGATAGCGGACCTGACTTTCCTATCCAAGTCCCGGAAAGCAGGCGACCTCCCTTCACGACGCAGCACTGCACGCCCCGCCGCTGCGCCATCAGGTCCAGAGTGGCCGGCGTAACCGCCGGCGCATCGGGGTTTCTGATCGTCACAAGTCGGATGGGAGCATGCCTGTCTATCACCGGTAACAGACGGTCGGTAAAATACGACCACATGTTCGTAACAGGGGCATTCCACGTCAAATCAACTACACCGAAATCCGTCATCCCCTTCGATTTTTCTGAAAATTTGCAGGCAGACTGGGCATGGTTCAAAAC